TTCTGCCTTTACCCCTTGAACATACACATCTTTCACTCAGGACTTGTGCCATTTGAAAGGGCATGGGTGTCTTTGACCTGGAGTGCTTTCAAGGTCACCCTAATTCCTCTCTTCACATTCCCACAATGTAGGTCCTTCGGGTAGCCTAGACATCGGTTCAGTATGTTTGTCTATGCCTCATTTTGCAGAATCTTCCTTAAAAGACCTGTTAAAATGTGTGTTCGGGATACTCAGATCCAGGGTGAATGCCCAGGGTATATACAACAGCAGGTGGAAATGTAGGAGGAATTGCACTTTATCATTTTCTAAGTCTTTGGCTACACGATAAGTGACTTCCATTTAAAATCCAGTGCACCAGCAAATCGTGTTGGCCAAATCTTCAAAATTCATCCATACTTTAACCACTGCTCATCACCTTCTCTAATTTCATGCTGATGAGAGGCACAGGCTTGAAGAAATCTTCCTTTGTGTTCACTTGCCCCTCTACATTTCTTTCTTCACACAGCAGCCAGAGTGATTTTTTTGAAAATTTACATGAGTAATGCCACTCCTCCGCTCCAACCTTCCATTGACTTCCCGTGTGACTTACAGAGAAGCCCATCTTTATTGGACCACAAGGCTCAATGACATCAGTGTCACCATCCCTGCGGACCTCAGCTTGGAGTCCTTTCTCTCACTCCTTTGCAGCTCCTTGGCCTCCTTGCTGTTTTCAGACCCTCAAAGCACAGTTCTGTGTTGGAAGTCATACACATCCTTCCCCTGGAAGATTTGTCTCCCATTTATACTTAGACTTCCTTCTCTCATGTCTGTGAGGTCTCTGTATAAGTATTACCTTATCAAACCATCCCAATCCTCTCTAATTTCTTTTCCAGCTACATTTTCTCACAGACCTTATCATCATCTGACATATTGTGTATTTTACTTACTTGTCTATTCAACTCCACTAGAATGCATACATCAACAAAGCAGAGATTTTTGTCTGTTTCATTCATGCCTTATCCCTGAGTGCCTATAAAGTACTTCAAACATGGTAGGTATCCATTCAGTGTTAGTTGAATGAATAAATGATTGGATGGACATATGGATGAATTTAGCCTAGGTGGTAGTTTAAATTTTAAAGTTAAGTGGTAAAGCTAGGATTGATACTCAGGCCACATTTTGGTCAAAGCCATTACTCTTTCTGTATTACCATGTGAATTAATCTGGATCCCTTCCCGAGAGATATGGACAAACATTAACAGTGGAGTCCTTTGTAGAGTCAGGTATAATGTTAAACTTTAAATCCCAGATGAATTTGGCTTTATGAACTACCAAATAAAAATAGTCTAATAAATTCTAGTTTGGAGGTGTAGCATTGAACAGAATTTAGAAAATTCTTTTCTGTCATTGAAACAAAGGACTTTTGCAATAGGTGAATAAAAAAAAACATTGACTCACAAATGACCAGCTAAGGGAGAGCCAGATTTCTAGATAAGTAGGACAAAAAAATTTCCACTGTTTCTCACCAACTATGTAGCTAATGGGGATGGTGGCTTTAAGCCAACTACCACTTAAGGGGGAAAAAAAAGCTTACCATTCAACAAGTGAATAGTTAGTGTGGAATGGATAGCATCTACTGAAATTTGATTTTCAGCTCTCTCCCCAAGTGACTGAAGACATTTTTTTCAACCTGTTTACTTTTGTAACATGTCTTCTCATAGTCAAAATCAAGGTTAATTATATGAGAGTTTGTGGTTTAATGCTACTGAAGGTTCTCAAAAATATCTTGAGGTGTCATTGGAAACATGCTGGGACCCTAAATAGGCTGACTGACCAGGGGCATTAACTCACAATGGTCAGGGCTTAGGGGCAATTTACTGACTATAAGACCGTGAGCACCAAATCCAGATCATAAAATCTCAGCAAATGAGTTGAAGTTGAGACTAGCCTAGATTGGAACCAACATCTGTAGGTTTTTTCTGTGGCAGGGTAGAGTCAGGTGGGTGGTACCATGAAGCCATTTTCGATCTGGTCTGATAAAAATCTAAGGATGAATTCTAGCCCTTTGGTATAAGTAAGGTACATAGGCAGTTCCAGTCCCCAGAAGGGCTTCATGAAGCCTGGACACATTTTCATTGTCTAGCCAAATATGCTGAATTTCAAGACAATTGTATGGACCCATCATGGGCAAAGGGAGACAAATAGAGGTCAGCAGGCCAATCGGGGCAGGGAATGACTGTTTTGTCATAAGCATCTAAATTTAAGTCCTTTATTACCCAGGATTATCTGAGAACAAGGTACATTGCTGCTGTCCATTTTAAAATATCCACTGTTACACATGTGGTTTCTAATATCTTTCTGAACTTGACTTAAGGCATACGGTGAATTTATCCTTCTTACTATAATTCCTTGGCTTTTTTTTTTTTTTTTTTTAGATTTTATTTATTCATTTGAGACACAGAGATACAGAGAGAGAGAGAGAAAGCATGAGCAGGGAGAGAGGCAGAGGGAGAGGGAGAAGCAGGCTCCTCACTGAGCCAGGAGCCCGATGTGGGGCTCGATCCCAGGACCCTGGGATCATGACCTGAGCTGAAGGCAGACGCTTAACCATCTGAGCCACCCAGGAGCCCCTCCTTGGCATTTTTATATCTAGGTCTGGCTAGGGTAAATAGATATTGACAAGAGAATTTGGAATTTCTGAAATCTTTATTCAGTATATATGAATCATCAAGGAGGTTTTGATATAAACTAAAACAGCACTGATTTGTTTTAATGGTGAAAATTCTCTTATATTTCAATGCTGGTATATCTTTTATATAGTACAGACTTGATATCTAGTTGTGCACTGTGCTAATAGTTCTGTATTCTGAACACTATTATCTGTATTGGGCTTATTGATCTTTATGATTTTGATAGAATGAATTTGTGTGTCATTTATTTTGTAAGTTACAGAGGAATGAGCAGTTGCCATAAATAATGATAGCTTACAGATCAATGGCTATTTTGAGTTCTTTGATTTATTGGTTTTATAAGTTTCTTCTCAGGAGGTAGGGAGTAAATTGATCTTTGAAATGTTTCATGAACTGTTCTAGATTACGTGCAGATACCCTGGGGAATGAAGGAGTGAGGCCACTTTAAGAAGAGCTTGACCTTAGGCTAACCCAACAAAAGCTCAATTGTGAAGAGATCCATCAGAACAAAACTGTACCCATTAGCAGATTTCGTTCCTGCATATGACTCCTCAGTTGAATTGAATTTACTGGGATGGGTCTGTGATTTGTCTTTTACTTTAGATCTGTTAGTGGTTTTCATTTCCTACTTTACTTGTATACTCTTTTACTGTCTCTTCTCTGCCCTCCTTGGGTCTCAGCCCTCTTTCTCCATTTTGTTTTTCTCGTTTAGACCTTGATCCTACAAGTGGGATTCAATTTCAGCAAGTATCCGGATGGGTATTAGTCTCATTCCCTAGCAACTAGCCCCACCCTAGCCCAACAATCCCTCTACCTCCACCACCAACAATTAGCTTTCCACCCCAACCCTCCGACCCGCCACCATACACACATTATTTAATTGTATTCTGATGCCTTTGCTTTAATAGACTTAACAAAGACTAATTATAACAAATAGCACACCATTATGCCATTTACAAAGTATTTATATATTTATTTTCTTATTTGAGATAGTGGTTGCTATTTCAAAATAAAAAAGGAAGAATGTTGTACTTAAAGGAGAACTATATTTTTCATAAATACTTATACATATTTACATATAGTAAGAAAGTGTCCACATATTATGAATATTTTCTTACTACAGGGTAGGAAATCAAATATTATGGACTCATATTTACAAAGTTTATCTTACCAGAAAAATATTTTCCCCAAAGTCTTACAATTTGATAGCCATTTATTTATCAATGATTTTTATTCACTATTAAAGAAATCATTACTTTGGCCTTGTTTGTCATACTCTGATATAAAAGTGACCTGCTGTTCTTGTGATGAGAAGAGAGAACAGGAGATTCTTCAGTGTGGGTACAGATGAAGGTAGTGAAGCAGAGCATTACAGGGAAATACATAAGCATGTGTTGACCATTGATTAATGTTAGGCACAGTTATATGCCAAGGGCATTGCACTGGAAGCCAGGAGACCCAGGTCCATGATTAGATGACCTAGCTGACTTATCGCAGGTCCTTGGTTTCTGTACTGAAGTAGATCTAGGACCTTGTGATTTCAAGTATGTGTGATATGGGATGTCCATGTTCTTTTTACTTTTGAAAATATTTCTGATGTTTTTTGATTTTTTAAAAATAGTTTGACAGATTTAAAGCTATGTTTCAGTTTTTTGAGAAGTTTGCTTTTGCTTATGACTATATAAACTTACTATATCAGTCTTATCTGATTGGTCAAGATTTTGGGTTAGTTTTACAGTCTGATTTGGTTCCATTTATACTTTGATCAATTTTAGGTAGTAAAACAATTGAAGAAAACTGCCTTTAGACAAAGTTAGTATTTAAATGAGACGGCATTTGTTAAATATCATATATGTTTATATACTATATATTTATAAATTATATAAATGAAATATATTTCAATATAGTATTGTGTATAAATGTGCATGTATACATAACCAATTGTGGATTTTTTTTCAAGAGAATATTAAATCGTTTATTGATTACACATGATAATGGATGATACACAAGCTTTAATCCCATCTATAATTTTATCTGATACCATAATTCAATTTAGATATATTGCATAGGATGTGCCAACAATCATATTAATAACCAAATAAACTCCAGGACTTTGCTTGGGTGACCCTTTTAATGGTGAACTCCAGGTCACAACACATTAACTGTCAGTTCAACTACACCAAGGTTTGTGGAGACAATGGCGTCTGTGCCCAAGCAGGTTGCAAATCAATTTCGAATGGAACCTGGCATCACCCTGAAGGAATTCTAACTTCACATTGTTGGGGTAGTATACCAAGATGGCGTCAGAGTAGACTAACTTTACACAGCACATTTTAAAAAGACACATTTATTCAGCGTCATGATCAGACTATTACATTTAGCAATCAACAGCATGGGTGCAAAAAAAAAAAAAAAAAAAAACTACATTAAAACCCTTTGTTGGAATGCTTTACACTTTCCACAGAACAGAAACTAAAATAACCTGTTATACAATTAGTCACAAATACAGTCCTCGAGTTTTTTGCCCATACACATGAGTATTGTCTAAAACATGTCTTCTTTGTAGCAGCTAGGCCCTGCCACCACTGTGCTTGGCTGAGTTCACAAATCTGTTGTAACCTGTAGCTTCCCCGTCCCTCCTCTGGCTCTCCTCTCCTGCTAAGCTTTGTTTCCTGGCAGTAATTAAAACTTTCTGCCACTGCCATAGCTACTGCTGCTGCTGGAACCACCATAGCCACCTTGGTTTCGTGGTTTGGCAAAGTATTGGCCTCCACCACCATAGGGGCCAGAGCTTCTGCCTCCAAAATTTCCTCCTTTCATGGGTCCAAAATTTGAGGATTGATTGTTGTGATTGCCAAAATCATTATAGCTTCCGCCACCTCCAAAGTTGCTTCCATCATTACCAAATCCGTTATAGCCATCCCCACTGCCACCATATCCACCACCACCTCGACTGCTACCAAAGCCACCTCGACCACTGAAGTTCCCTCCACGACCAAAGTTGTCATTCCCACCAAAACCACCTCCACGACCACCACCAAGGTTTCCAGAACCATTTCGACCTCTTTGGCTGGATGAAGCACTAGCCATCTCTTGCTTAGATAGGGCTTTCCTTACTTCACAGTTGTGGCCATTCACAGTATGGTATTTTTGAATGACAATCTTGGCTACAGAGTCATGGTCATCAAATGTTACAAAAGCAAAACCTCTCTTTTTGCCACTGCCCCGGTCAGTCATGATCTCGATCACTTCAATTTTCCCATACTGTTCAAAATAATCTCTTAGATGATGTTCTTCAGTGTCTTCTTTAATGCCACCAACAAAAATCTTTTTCACAGTTAAGTGGGCACCAGGTCTTTGAGAATCTTCTCTTGAGACAGCCCTCTTTGGTTCCACAACTCTCCCATCCACCTTGTGTGGCCTTGCGTTCATGGCTGCATCCACCTCCTCCACAGTGGCATACGTGACAAAGCCAAAGCCTCTGGAGCGCTTGGTGTTTGGATCTCTCATTACCACACAGTCCATAAGCGTTCCCCATTGCTCAAAATGGCTCCTCAGACTCTCATCGGTTGTTTCAAAGCTCAAACCTCCGATGAAGAGCTTCCGCAGCTGTTCAGGCTCTTTGGGAGACTCTGACTTAGACATGACGGCGGTGGGAGGGGAGACTTTAACGATGCTTACTCGGCGGCGTCCATGGGCAGAAAGGAAAAGCCCAATTGTGGATTTTGATAAATATTTTTTAATCATATCAAAGTGGCATCTCTTCCTTTATTCATGCATTTTCATTTGTTTTGTAACAACATGAATGATGTAAAACTTTTATGGCATTTATGTAATATTATGCCATGTGTCAATATCATCAGAACTGAGAAACTTATTGGCTTATGTCCTAAAAATACCACAAATTCCTTGGGTTTTTCTCCTTTCTGTTTAATCTGATTAAATAGATGGCCTTCCAGTTTGGAAATAAACAGTCTTACTTCTGAAAGAATACTGGATATTCCTCCAAGTTTCTTTAATTAAGTAAAAATGTTAGCTATTGACATGCTGTTTTCATAAGTATATGTATATATGGAACTATAATCTAATCTAGCTTTTAAAAATGAATAATAGATTTAATGGTTCAAAAGAAAAGATGTACAAAGTTATTTTGTGGAAGAAAGAAAATCATTAAGCATGATTTTTCCATATAGTTTGCTTATAGTTTACTGCAGCTCTTACATGGACATGAAGTGGCAAGGATGGAATGTATAGACTTTGCCACTTGGGTCTTATGAAAAGTTATATTTTGTAGCATGGATTATTTGGCCAATCTCTTTTAACAAACTAAACTTTCCCACAATCTTATGAGGAATAGGGATACTAAATATGATGTGTATGATATATCTTTGCAGAGACACACACAAATGAAGATGTACTAAAGTATTTTTTTTTAGATTTTATGTATTTATTTGAAAGAGAGAAAGAGAGAGAGAGAAAGAGGCGGGGGGGGGGGGAGCAGAGGGAGAGGGACAAGAAGACTCCTCACTGAGCCAGAGTCCCAACGCAGGGCTCAATCCGATCCCTTGAGCCTGAGATCATGACTTGAGCCAAAACCAAGAGTCGGATGGGATGCTTAACTGACTGAGCCACCCAAGTACCCCATTACTCAAGTATTTTTGATTAAAAATGTAAGTCCAAAACCTGGGTATTTAACTTTTAACTTCCAAAGATAAGTCATCAACTTTGTCGATTATCAGTTTTATTATCCATTAATAATATTTTTAGGAGGTAAGCCGGTAAATTTCTCAATTCTGATGATATTGATATTGGAGGTAGAATTATGTAAATTCCTTAAAATTTTTATATTATTTATGTTTTATAAATCAACTGAAAGTGGAATGCAAACAGCATATGTAAAGAGATGATTGACTAGGCTTTTCTGTTTCATCCTATGTTTCAGTAACAAGAGGCAACGTACCTATTTTTGATCATATTTTAGTTCAATCTTTAAAACTTAAAATTGAGAATAATTGTAAGTAAAATGTGAATTTGTCTAGTTCAATTTTCAGAAAAGTGATTCTGTAATAAAAATAGTCTATTCATCATATTGTCCCTCAATTTTCAGGGCATTCTGAAATGTATTTTACTATTTACCTCTGTACGATATGTAATGCTTAGGAGAAGATAAGGACATCTTCAGAGAAAGGGTGTTTCTAATTCAGAGTTACTCCAACCCTGGTTACCTGGAATGAAAGGTTTGGTAGAATACAGACCTGCAAAGAGCTTGAGGGTATAGATTACCTCCCTCAGTTGAGTGCACTCACCGGAACCCACCTGTGGGGACTGTGTCAGGCTTAGTAATTTGGAGAGGAAACTGCTTTAGGGAAATTATTGCTTGATATGATTGAAATTATTTGTTCATCCATTTGTCTTTTAAGCTTTTTAGGTTATGTTTCCACTGTGCTCCAGAGGTATGAAGTGTATTTTTTTTAATTATAGGTTTAAACAATTTTAATTTTGGTCAGACTTTGCACTAAAATTTAATATAGATTATCTTCCAAGGGGTAGTTGCATAGTCTTTCTTACATATACTTAGAGAATGTACAGTTTGGGCTTTAAAAAGAGTAGAAATAAATAACTGGAATTAGTATTAAAGGAACGCTTCCTCAGATCGATTACAATTGATAAAATTTTAAAAATCTCATGCTTAGAAACCTTGTGGACTCCAAATTATAGTCAGGATATTCTAAAATTATCTCTTTTCTGCTTGTTGGTACAGTTCCTTAACTATCCTTTTCTCAAAATAGTGGCTAATATTTATTGGGTGATTCCTTTGTCACTAGAAGCTAAATCCTTTGCATAACTGATTTTATTCTATCTTCTATCCACTTTATCTGGCAGGCATGCCCATTTTACAGTGATGGGGCAGTAGTTTGCCCCGGTCACATAGCTCAAGAGTGGCCAAGTGCGGATTTTCATCATGTCAGGCTGACTCTAGATTCTGAGTCTTAACCCCCACACCATAGTGTGCCCAGGACTACACATGAGGCAGAAGGGCTTTTCCTTTTTCTACAGCTGAAGGCTTATGGAAATATAAGAGTTGTTTTAGTGATGAGGTATGACCAAAATACATTTACAAAGTCTTGGGTGATACGTTTTTGTAATGGTGAAGATCCAGTCCTTCCTTTAAGGAGCCCATGGTTACTTGAAGATAGACAGTTGAACAAATAATTGCAGTGTGTTATTATAAGGGTCAAAGAAGAAAGTGGGAAGTCTGCCATGAGGAGGGCTTTGGAGAAGACCAGACACTTGAGAGAAGTGGGAGCAAAATACTCCATTCCTTTGTATGATTGACCTTCTCCTGTCAACTTTGTTCAGCATTTTATGATATTCTTTCTATATATCTCCATTCACATGAATTTCTGATCATGATATTTATCTTATATATTTCTCTACACTTTCATTGTAGTTGGTTTTCATATGCTTTTCAGTTTCTCTTTATGAGAATTTAAAATGTGTATTTTATTTTATGAGGTTCTTAAGGAAAGATAGTGATGATTTTATTTTTTCATTTTTTTATCTCAAAATATATTGTACACAACTCTTTCCCCTTCTAACTTGTGAGTGTAAAATGTGTAAATTATACCCTTAAAATGAGACTTAGAGTGGAAGTGTCATGCGAAATGGTGATTATGCACATCTCCCCATCCCCTGTTTTATAGCTATCATATCTAATAGTAAATACCGAAAAGGCAAGGCAGCTGCCTAGATTTGGCACAGGGTAGAGAAATCATCAATGCTAACCCTTATCATGAATTACTCTGTACCAAGCCTTATGGTCAGCATTTTTCATAGATTATCCTATTTAATGCCCACAACTCGACACATAGGTAATGATTGTTATGCTCATTTTAGAGATGATGACACTGAGCCACAGAGTTAAAGAACTTGTCCAAGGTCACGTCCCTACCTAGTAAACTGAGGACATCTGATTCTAGACCCTCTATGCTTCTTTTCATGGGGGCTTCTAGGCTTTGAGAGAAATCCATACTTTATGGACTGGTCATAACTTTGTATTCATTCAATAAATAGTCAGTGTGGATTTTCTACTCCAGATTAGATCCATCTTTTTCTGTGTGAGGATTGTGTTTAAATGTTACCATGAGAGGCCTATCTTATGGGCGTGAGTAGCTCAGGTGATCAGGTGGGCCTTGTTCATGTCCGGGCTCTGCCATACTAGTTATATGACTTTTACAAAGTCATTTTGTTCTCTAGCACTGAGTTTCCTCATGTGGCAGGGGATATTTTCAGTGTCTTCCGCCTTTCACAATCGACGATACCAGGTTGCTCTAGTATCACTCTTGCTTACATATGCTATAAATGGAAACCTTCAGATGTATGTAATGGGCACTCTTTTCATCTCTCTTATCTTTCCACATTGGATATTTCCTTCATGCTCGATTTATCCAGTCCCTGTATTTTTAAATACCATTTTGATGATGAAGATTCACACGTTTTTATCTCCAGCCTTCACCTTTCTCCTGCTCTGCAGACATCAAATCCATCAACAATACTGTTGTCTCTACCCTTAAAATATAACCAGAATGCGATCAACGTCCAGTATTTTTATTTCTATGAGGCCTGGCCCAGGGAGCTCCATCTCCATCTGTATGGTTGTAGAACCTCCTTGCTTGTCTTCCTATGGCATATTCTTTCACAGCCCAAAGTGAGTGTTTTAAAACTTCAGTCAGATCAGGTCATTCCTCTACTTAAACCTTCCACTGGCTGCCAGTCTCACTCAGCATCAAAGTCATAGTTCTAGAGTGGCCTAAAAGGCTCTGCATGATTGATCAGGCCCTTGGCTGCCACTTTGATATTACCTCCTATTTCTCTTTTCCTCGGTGCTGTACTCTAGCCAAATTAGCGGGTTGTGGTCTTTGAATACACCAGGACATCATCCTAAGGGCCTTTGTACTTTATCCCCTGCCTAGAAACTTACGGGTCAAATATCTCCATGACTTACTTCCTTGTCTCTTTTAGGGGAGACACATATTAGGCACTCACTAAACATTTACTGGGCTAATGTGTATGAATGGATAAATGAACGAATGAGTGAATGACTGTGTCTAAATTTTATTAGGAACTTGTATCTTCATTCGGTAATAGTTACCAATTAGTGCTAGTCTCTTATTCCGATAGCTAGGACTCATGAGTGTATGCCAGAACGAGGTACCTTGAGGCCCAGGCAATAATGTCAACATGTGAAATGCTTTGGGTGAAAAGTGGTACAGAGTGGTGGGGGCTATGTCCAACCAGGAGGTCAAGAAAGTACATCTTCATGTGAAACTTCCAATCCATTTCAGGGGAAGAGGGTGACAGATAGTCATCAGATTAACTATGAAGAAGCTAATTTTCCATAGACCTAAGTGCTGTAAAGATGTAAAACAAAAACTAATTATGTACTACATGCTGACTAAATGAACATAATTAAAAAAAAGATGTAAAACAAAATGCTGTGGTAGAGAGCGCTAGCCTAGGAGTAGTGGCTAATTTACAGAGTAGTTAGTGAAGGTGTCTTTGAGATGGTGAGGTCTGAGCAGAAACCAAACTGACAAGAAAAGGAACCATTCAGAAATCTGGGGCAGAGCTTCTAGACAATGGGCTATAAAATGAAGAAACTGGAAAGCAGAAAGGAGCTTACTGTGTTTGGGGAACAGCA